TACGAAATAAAAATTCTAGTTGGATTAAATAAAAACGGTATTTGGTTCAAATAAATTCCATTTGGTCCAAGAAGGCCTCGGACTGTATTTAAAAAAAAAAATAGTATAAAAACTTTCCTAAACTAACATGTATGAATAAACTATATAAAAATACCATTAAATTAAACTGGATTTTTATTAAAAACTATTTTCTATTTAAAAAATAAAAACGAGAAACCAAATTCTCTTTGAGTATACATATAAAATTTACAATATTTTCGTCTAAAAAGATTTTTATCCAAGCGAACGAAACTTTTCCTATTAAAAATAACTCTCTCTCTCAATGTGACTCGTGTCGTAAACTAAATATATATTCCAGTGCGCACTGCTTTTTTAATTTCCCGCTAGTTAATACATACAAACCCTGTAAATGAAGTTACGCGAAATATTAAAATTAAAAAAAGGAGCAAAATAAATATTCTCCATTATCGATTTTACAGTCTTTCCTTTTTTCCTCTTTTCTCCTTAATAAAAACAAATTGTGTTAACTTTGATTGTACTGGTCCATTTGATTCTTTTTTTTTTTTTTTTTTTTTTTTTTTTTTTTAAAGTGAAAGAAGAAAAAATTTATATCTATATAATGAGCTTTATAGAGTGTAGAGTGACTATAACTAAAGACTTGCAACTGGAGTTGACATTAATTGCTTTGGGGCCATTAGTAATCCAAAATGTAGAGAACAAGAACGTTATTCACCATTAGCATTAATTCTAAAACACGCGACATGAATGCCTTAATTCAATTGCAAGTCAAGTAATTACATCAAGATTCCTTCAAAGGATAACACGTTAATACGGTCAAGGAAAACATTATTTTAATTATAGAATTTTTAACAAATTATTTTTCCTAATTTTACATGTATTCACTTGACTGCAATGATAAGAGAAAAATGGTAATATCAACTAATTTAAATTTTTTGCTCTCCAAATTTGAATTAGCAAAAATATTTACTAAATTGAAATAGTAACTTTTTGCTTTTGAATTAGTAAATTTTACTAATAAATAGTAATTTCTATTAATTCGTTAGTAAAATTTACTAATTAAAAAATAAAAAGTCGTCACTGATTCAAGTAAACATTTTTACTAATTAAATTTAGTGAGTAGTAAAAATATTTACTAAATTGAACTACTAAGTGACTTTTTGCTTTTGAATTAGTAAATTTTACTAATAAATAGTATTTTCTATTAATTTATTAGTAAAATTTACTAATTGAAAAGTAAAAAGTCGTCACTAATTCAAGTAAACATTTTTACTTTAATTCAAATTTAGCGAGTAATAAAAATATTTACTAAAATGAACTACTAACTGACTTTTTGCTTTTGAATTAGTAAATTTTACTAATAAATAGTATTTTCTATTAATTTATTAGTAAAATTTACTAATTGAAAAGTAAAAAGTCGTCACTAATTCAAGTAAAAATTTTTACTTTAATTCAAATTTAGTGAGTAGTAAAAATATTTACTAAATTGAACTACTAACTGACTTTTTGCTTTTGAATTAGTAAATTTTACTAATAAACTACCAGAAATTACTATTTAATCAATTAGTAAAAATTACTATTTATTAGTAAAATTTACTAATTATTAGTAAAATTCCCTAATTCAGAAGCAAAAAATCACTAACTCAAATTATTAAACATTTTTACTAATTCGAGAGTTAAATTTACTCCGAAAATAATAAAAATTCCCTAAACAACGGGCAGAAACATTTACACTTTTGAAATCGAAGATATTAATAAAATAAAATTTATGAATTCAATTATGAATTTTTTTAGAACCCTGGAGGGAATTCTATTAACAAATTGAAAACATTGAAAAGGAAAAGTATTTTAAGGAAACAAGATGTAATTGCAATAATAATGTATATAAGATTTACCGACACAATATACACAAGTTTAGAGTGAATAAGGCAAGGAGAGAAGAAAAGGAAGAAAATCAGTAGAACAGCTCAATGCAATTGGCAGTAGAACAATTTTTATATAGTCAGACTCCATTTCAGTTTCCTTTCTCTCTTCTTATGCTACCAATAACTTTATTATGTCTACTTCTTTTTTCATGTACTACCACTCTCTTTTTAAAATGTCTTTGAAAATAAACATTCTTTTATTTATAAATATTTTCCTTTCCATACAAAAAATATTCAACAAGAGAATAAATCTGATGGAAAACGAATTTAAAATTGGAAAAAAAGAAATTATTTCTCTGTGTATAGTGTTTTTTTAGTTTAATTCCATCGACATTTTCGACATTTTCCTAACACTTTCTTGTTATTACAACATTTATTTGTTATAAACAAATTTTATATGATTCAATTAAAATTTATTTGTAACAAATAAATTTTGATTTGTTTCTCAGCATCGAAAACTTATTTTAGGTTTTTGTTTAAAATAAATATTTATTATTATTTTTCCATAGGAATTAAGATTTTAAAAAAATTTCAAATTCAGTAGCATATAAGAATATTATTATAAAACATGTCGATATCGATATTCGCTTTCTTCGTGTTTTATAATAATAAAAACTTGCTGAACTCATTATTTTATATTATAACAAAGTTCCTTGGGAATTTTCAAATCCACTTGTTTATAATTTAATTTTACGAAATTTCTAATATTTGGAAATTCTTCAATTAAAAATTTATTTTTGAAAATAAAAACTTCAAATAATTAAAAAAAATTCAATTAAACTTTTTCAAAAAAAATTAATTCTACAGAATTGTTTTTTTAAAAGTATCTTGTCAAATTTTAATAAAATTTTTAAAAATAATTTTTTTTTTTTTTTGAGAGAAATTTGATTAAAATTGTATTAAAAATTATTGAATTTCTCCAAAGAATTTTATAAAAGTTTTGAAATAATTGAAGTCGGAGAAAAATTTTATTATTTATAAAGATAATTGAAACTCTGTCCATAATTTTTGAAAATTTTTGAACATAATTGAATGAATTTCTGCTAATAATTAAATTACTTTTAAAAATAATTGAATTCTTAAGACGAATTAAATTAAAATTTCTTTTGAATTAAATGAATTCTTTTATGAAATTTTATTTAAATATAGTAATAAAAATAATTGAAAGTCTGCGATGAGTTTTATTATTTATGAAAATAATTGAATTCCAAAAAAGAATTCTATTATTTATGAAAATAATTGAATCCTTGTAAAAAATGTTATTTATGAAAACAATTTGCAAATAATTGAATTCCTGTGAAATTTTCATTATTTATGAGATCAATTAAATGTTTGCGTAGAATATTATTAAAAAATTTTATAAATAATTGAAATTTTGCCAAGAATTTTATTAAAATTTTTAAAAATAATTAAATTTTGGAAAAGAATTTAATTATTTTTAAAGATAATTGAAATTTTTACGAGAAGTTAGAAAAATTTTTGAACATAATTGAATTTCTGCTAATAATTAAATTATTTTTGAAAATAATTGAATTCTTGCGACGAATTAAATTAAAATTTTTTTTTAAATAATTTAATTCTTTTGTGAAATTTTATTAAAATAGTTGGCATTGAAAATAAATAAATTTTGTCAAATTTTTGAAAATAATTAAATTTCTACTAGGAGTTTTATTAAAATTATTTTGAAAAAAAGTGGAATTTGTTTACAGAGAATTTCATTAAAATTTTTGAAAATAATTTAATTTTTTGAAGAAATTCAATTAAAAATGCTTTGAAAATAATACTTAAATTCTAATAAATAAATTGTAGCAAAGGTTTTTAAATAATTGAATTCTTTTGACAAATTTCAATAAAATTTTCAAGAATAATTACATTTTTCGAGGAATTCGATTAAAATTGTATTAAAAATAATTGAAAGTCTGCGATGAGTTTTATTATTTATGAAAATAATTGAATTCCCGACAAGAATTTCATTATTTATCAGAATAATTGAATTCCAAAAAAGAATTTTATTATTTATGAAAATAATTGAATTCCAAAAAAGAATTTTATTATTTATGAAAATAATTGAATCCTTGTAAAAAATATTATTTATGAAAATAATTTGTAAATAATTGAATTCCTGTGAAATTTTTATTATTTATGAAAACAATTAAAAATTTGCGTAGAATAGTATTAAAAATTTTTTTAAATAATTGAATTCTATTGGAAAATTTTATGAAAGTAGTAAATATTAAAAATCATCGAATTGAGGGAAATTTTTGAAAATAATTGAAATTTTCCCAAGAATTTTATTAAAAATTTTTGAAAATAATTGAATTTCTATGAAGAATTTTACTAATTTTGAAAATAATTAAATTTCTGCAATTATTTCTAATTGCTCCAAAATTCAATAATTTCTTTTAGTATTTTTAACTAAAATTCCTTTAAAAAATCTAACATAAAAAAATTTAACTATATGATTTAAGAAGAATTTGAATTATTAAAATTATTCAAAAATCTACATTCTTTATGATTTCTAAAGAAATTCATTCAAAATTGAAGTTTTCCTAAATTCCAAATTAAAACCTTTTGAAGTTCATCTACTTATAAAAATTAGAAACGCAAATATTTTAAATTTGAATTAATTTTGAAATATTTCAGTAAAATTATATTTCAAGAATAAACACAATAACTTTAGAAAACAATTTTCCAGGATTTCGATAAAAATTCCTTGACTATTCTAGATTTTTTCAAGGTTTATAAAATTCCCTGAAATTTCCAGGTTTTCTAGGTTACGTGGCAACTCTGAAAAATAGTTCGATTTTTTTCGGTTTCATGAAAAAAAAAATTCTTTTTGACTCTTAGCGTCGACGCAAACTTCAGGGACCTTTTAGTATTAAAATTTAATTTAAATTTAATTTAAAATTTTCATAAAGTAGCAAAAAAAAAAAATTGTCCTTTATTAGAACACCCGATACTTTAAAAAAAATATTTTTGTTTTTTTTTTATTGTTTCTTTAAAGACATAGAAAATAAAGAAATTGAATAATATTTATTTATGAAAATGAACTCTTACCTTGAAAGGCAGCTTCGAAGGTTGTTTTCTCTTCAATGGGATTTTGAGCGAATGTTGTCACTATAGTGAAGTATCCAAGGATTAGGAAGAGCCAATGGCGGGAGGGTCCGAACATCGTACCACCCATAACATGTACTCGTTGCTCTCTCACGTACTTCAAACAATTTGATCCACTCTCCTCCAGTTCATCGAACCAAAGGCTATTTAAGTCAGCCCTGACTTTTCCCTCCAAAAAATTTGCTCCTCCAACTATCTCTCTTTTTACTCCCTTTTCATTTATCAAATAGTCATTTGGTAAATTACTATTTACCAAATTGCGTGTTTTCCCCTCCAAATAAAACGATTCCAAAAGAATATTGAAATTTCCCCTTTTCGAGGTAGATAACACACCTGCAACACACATATACATACAAACATTTTTTTTTTTTTTTTTTTAAGTGGATTCGAATAGCGTGAAAATGCGGGTTCGATAAACGAGGAGTTATTTCCCTCGATAACGAGGATCTAGGAGCTTTCGGTTAGAAGATATGCATGAGAAGAAAGTAAAAAAAAAAAAAAGATTATTCGAGGTTATTGACCCCGAAAACCGCGCGCCAATTTCTTTTTCGTTCTTCAACATCTAACAGAGTGACACCCAATAAAATATGAAACCAATTTTCTCCTCGAAGACACTTTTTTTTGAGTTATTTTTTTTCTCCTTTTTTTCAAAAACAATAATTTTACTAATAAACAAAAAACAGATCAATATCGAAAAATTATCGTATAAATAAATCAATTTAAAAAAATAATAAAACAATTACAAGGTGAACACTTTTTTCATAAAAAAAAAAAAATCGTCATGAATTATTTTTCCCGGTCATAATATAGATATAATTCTCATATCTTTGAAAATTAAGTAATATTTTTTTCTAATGAAAATATACTTTATTATGGCGATTAACTCAACTTTAATTTTGTTCATAAAGAGTTCCTTTTACCGTGGCATCACATTTTAATTAGCTTAAAGCAAACTTGCTCCTTTGCAAAGAAACTGTATGCTATACATAATATATTGTATGAGAAATTTGTATTCAGAAAAAAGGCATTTTATTCTCCCTGTAAATTGAGTTTAAACATTTCAATAACGCTTGATGCAAAAAAATGTTCTATATTGTAAAAGAAAATTATTTACTAATAAATTACTAATAAATAAAATAAAACTAATTTATTAGTAAAATTTTTATTTGTAAAAATAAATTTTTACTAATAAACACTAATTCTTATACTAATTTATGAGTAAAATTTACTAAATTAAAAACAAAAAGTCAGTCACTGATTCAGATTATTGAACATTTTTACTAATTCAAAATTTAGAGAATAGTAAAAATATTTGAATCATAAAAGAAAATGAAAAATATGAATTAACCTTTAAATTATTTAAATCATGCGCTTCGAGAAACTGTTTGATGCTTTTTGCATTTTTTTTCATAAATATACATTTCAAGTAATATACCCACACACGTGGAAATGAAATTTATGCGAAATACACTGAACAATGTGAATTGTGTTCTGGAGTAATGAACTCGCAAATTTTGAACTAAACACATTGTGAAATATTTTCATTTCCAAAGAAATATGTCTGGAAAATATGTTTTAGACAACATTTCATTTGCTTGATAAAACAATATTAATTATTTCAAACATTTCTCCCGTAATTCCCGTTCCTATCTTATAATATTTCAGTTTAATTTATTCTTTGAATTTAATTTAGTACAATTCGCGCATAAAATACATTTTTAAAATAATAATAAATATTATCATTATGATTATTATTATTAATATTATTAAATTATTATTATCATGTTTAAATAATTTTAATTAAAAATTTGGAAAATAATTGAATTAAACAAAGAATTTTTTCAATTTTTTAAAATAATCTTTTCTGTTTATAATTATAATTGAAAATTTGATAATTCAATTTTATTCAAATCATATTACCTAATAATAATTGAATTTCTGCAGAGAATTTTACTATTTATAAAAGTAATTGAATCCTTCCAAAGAATTTTATTATTTATGAAAATAATTAAATGTTTGCGTAGAATATTAATAAAAATTTTTTAAATAATTTAATTGTAAAGAACAATTTAATTATTTATAAAGATAATTGAAATTTTGAGAAGAATTTAAAAAAATAATTGAATTCTTGTGAAGAATTTTTTTAAAAAATAATATTCAAAAGAATTTAGTAATTTGGAAGAATTTTGCTATTTATGGAAATAATTGAATTCTTGAGAAGAATTTTTTTACAGTTTCTAGAAATAATTGAATTCTTTCGACGAATTTTAATAAAATTTTTAAAAATAATGACATTTTTCAAGGAATTCGATTAAAATTATATTAAAAATAATTGAAATTACGCAATGAGTTTTACTTATTTATGAAAATAATTGAATATATTGCGAAGAAACTTGTGAAAATAAAATTATAAACTAAGTGACTAACTTTCCTTGATTATTTTCGAAAAATTTAAATAAAATTCTTTAAAAGAATTCAATTATTTTTAATAGAATGTAAAGAAATTTCAATTATTTCAAAAATTTTCAATTATTTGTTTATAAAAATTCAATTATCTTGAAACAATAGAATTGAAAAATTTCAAATATCTTATTTTTCAGAATTTTCAAAAAAAAACTTTGCGAAAATTGAATTTTATTAAAAAAAACCAGCAACAATTCTAACTTCTTACTACCTTTTTTTTAAATAAAATTAGCAATTTTAAAAATAATAGAAATTAAAAATTTTCTTATTTAAATTTTTGTTGAAAACACTAAAAAAATTCAATTTTGGAGAAATTACAAATAATTGCAGAAATTCAATTATAAAAAAAAAATAAAATTCTTATAAAATTCAACTACGTTCAAAATTTGAAAAAAAAATTCTCGTAAAAATCCCAATTATCTTTATAAATAAGAAAATTCTTCTCCAAAGTTCAACTATTTTTATAAATGTCAAAAAAATTTTTTTGTCTTAATTTCAATGATTTTCAAAAAATAAAATACATTTTTCTAATTTCAATTATTTTCAATATCTACTATTTTAATAAAATTTTCCAAAAAGAATTCAATTATTTAAATAAAATTTAAATAAAATTGTATGCAAACATTTAATTATTTTCATAAATAATAAAATTTTCACAGAAATTCAATTATTTTCATAAACAATAAAATTTTTTTAAGGAATTCAATTATTTTCATAAAAAATAATTTAAAATTCTAGAAAATAATAATTTAATTAAAATGATGAAAAAAAGGTTTGAATTTCTTAATTCCTGTGGAAAATCCTGTTCCAAAAATAAGATTAAAAATAGAATATTGTGCAAATATTTTTCTTCTTCTTCTAAAACAAAATAATAATTTTGTTAAAAAATTTTTGATTCATAAACAAAAATAATGCAAAATAAATAAATTTTCTATTTCTTAATCACAGTTGTTTAACAATTTTCTAATTTTCTTTAGAAGTAAAGAAGAAAAATCTGCATAATTTCAATTTGACAAAACATAATATTTAACAAAATTTTAGTCTTTTAATGAAAAGAAGTGAAAAAAATTCTGATGATTTCTATTTGTCATTACAATTTTGAATTAATTATAAAATAAAAATAATTATAACATTAATAATTAATATAATATACAATCTATCTAAAGCTAACAAACACAAAAGTATAAATAAACAAAAGATAACTTCAGAGTGTGAGGGACAGAAAAAGTGAATGAATGAAAGAATGAAAGAACATTCAAATTATTATAGTTAATTAATAATTAATTATAGTTAATTTTAAGTGTGTATTTTTTTTAAATTAACTAATAAATATTTTAATTATTAATCTTCGTACTAAGAAACATGAATATATTTTTAAATAATTTGTCGTCAATGAAGGAGCCTTGACAGGAAATTAAGAGTTAAAATTAATTAAAAGTAAAAAATCTCTTGTAGTTATAAAATATTTTCCAGATTTTTGGTCAAATATGTAATTTTGCATTGCATTTCACTTTCTCTCTCCCTCCCTCTCTCTCTCCTTCCGGCCTTTGTTTTTCAAGACAATATTCTCGTTTTGTTTAAGGAAAATATATATACATATATAGTTTAATTGAAAGAGATATTTCTCGTCAAAATTCATTTCCCCGAGCGTATTTACCTCGATCTGAGATTTTACGAGGTTGTTGAGTAGATGAAATAACGTTGGTAAACTATATTCTCTGCTCCCTATATATGTATATATTACGTATAGAATGAGATGCGCTGTTAAATGCATCTGAGCCGAAGTAACGAGATAAGTACCTCGAATGTGATCGTTATATGCTTTGATGCGAAATCATAGGCACTTGTAAATTATTATTAAAGTGTCGATTATTTATCAAAATAACACTCTCCACTTGGAACAGATAATCCTCAAGGAAATTGAATTAAAATCACGTCCAATATTGTCCCTCACACTCCCAAGTTGTCTTTTGTTTATACTTTTGTTTTTTTTTAACTTTAGATTATAATTATTTTCAAAAATTTCCATTAAAATTCATCTTCAACAAGAATTTAAAATTCTCTAAATATAATTCAATTATTCTCAAAATAATTTTTAAAAAATTCTATATAAAAATTAAATTGCATTCAAAATGCAATTTTTAAATATATTCGTTAAAAAAAATTGAAAAAATTCAATTATTTTCAAAAAATAATAAAATTCTTTAAAGAATTTAAATAATTTTCGAAATTAAATTTTAAATTAAAAAATTAAATGAAATTTTTTCTCCAAAAAATTTCAACAAAAATTTAAATTAGGAAATTTTTAAATTCCCTTATTTTTAAAATTGCTAATTTTATTTTTAAAAAAAGGCAATAAGAAGTTATTCGCGCGCTTTAGCGCGAATTGTTGCTAGTTAATACTTAAAATCTAACTAATAAAACTGAGACACTAAATATTGTCGAAAATGATCCACCGTTTCTTCCGTGGAAGCGCAACAATTGCCATTTCCTCTAGAGACAGTGAATTGTCAGAAAAACACACAGACTGATGAATAGTTTGACGCCCTACAAATAAACGCGTAACAACGTTTTTTCCGTTTCATTTTCTCCACTGTCGACAATAAAAACCAGTTATTAATGAATGTATGTACATATATATATATATATATATATATATATATATATATATATATATATATATATGTATACATACAAGAAAATACATTCTCTGGTAAAACGTGACGATCTTTCAACGAACATGACACACAATAAAATCAAAATCCAATAACTAAATTTAAACTGTAACTTTTTACAATTCCCTACATGTAGATCAAGTCTAATAAAATTAGTATCATGCAAAAAAATACTGACTGTGGAAAAATTATTTC